ATGATGACGAAGAATTTGGTGGATATGAGAACAGAAAAAAGATGGAACGCAAATTGCTTTGGAAAACTGATGCCAGATTCGCCATTATGATTATCAGTGAGTGAAAATTTTATGTATCCGTCCAGCTTAGCTAACCATGGCTTTTTCGTTAATTCCTTCATCTATCCCTTCTATTAATTACAATTATCAGTCTATATCCTCAATTACATCGATAGAAACAATGTCCCGGCGGCTCGTCATCAAGGTTTAGAAGACGACCTAGAACTCGGATACGACAACAGATACGAAACTGTTCTGTCTATACTCTACGCGGGCTATATTGTCATGCAGGCGAGGATTCCGTTATCGCTCTTTTCTGACCTCTGACGCTTTTTTAGGTACCCTCCAACGGTATTGTCTCTCTGATAAGCCGGCCATCACTCTATATTGGTGGTGCAATGGCGCTTTGGGGTATGATCTCTTGCTTGACTGGTATCACTCAAAACTACGTTGGTATTCTCTTGACTAGACTCTTTCTTGGTTTCGTTGAGGCAGCTTTCTTGCCTGGAGCTATGTTCTTGCTGTCTAAATGGTACAAGAAGAACGAATTAGGTGTTAGAATGACACTGCTATACTGTGGTAATCTCATTTCAAATGCGTTTGGTAATCTTATAGCTGCTGGTATCGTCAATGGTATGGAAGGCAAACTTGGTCATAGAGCTTGGAGATGGCTCTTCTATATTGAGTAGGTCTCTCCTATCAGGGAATAAAGTGTTTAACAAGCTTTACAGAGGTGCTCTCACTATATTTGTAGCAGTTTGCGCAGTTTTCGTACTTCCAGACTTCCCAGAAACAGAACGTTTCTTGTCGCCATTGGAGGTGAGTTAAGCTTAGCGAGTAGTCCTACAGGAGAAGTGTTCACTTTCTCTGGCTATAGGGCTGAAAATTTTGTGACAATGTCTGACATCTGAAACAGAGAAAATTGGCTATTCGCCGTATGGCAGAAGACGCAGGACAAGTAGACACGGTCATGGATAAACACGAAGTCCTTCGTGGTATGAAAATGGCATTGCTTGATTACAGAGTTTGGTGGTTATCTTTGACATTGTTCGGCATGGTCATCGGATTAAGTTTCAACATTTATTTCCCGACTTTAACAGAGGAAATGGGTTTCGAGGGCACACAGGCCTTACTGATGTGTGCACCACCCTGGATTTTCGCAACAATAGTCGCCTTCCCATGGTCTGTCAGTTCAGATAGATTCCAAGAACGTACTTTCCACATTTTGGTTTCAAATTTGGTATCAATTGTTGGTTTCATTATTGCGATTGCAACTCAAAACAAGGCAGCAAGATATTTCTCATTATTCTTGATGACATTGGGTTATTGTGGTTTCATTTGCGTTTATGCTTTCACTTCCAGTTCGTTCATTCGTCCAACATCAAGACGTTCAGTTGCCATTGCTTTCGTCAACGCTTTCTCAAATATTGGTAATATTGCTGGTAGCTACATCTGGGACGCAGACAAATTTGGACCTAGCGGATACAGACAATCATACGCAATTTGCATTTCTTGCACTGGATTATCCTGTTTCCTTATTTTAGGATTCAGATATATTTTAGTTAACCTCAACAAGAAGATTGAAAAGTTGGAAGAAGAATATCCAGGAATGGATCCATGGGATATCCCAGAGAAGTGCGATCGCAAGTTAGACAATGCTCTGCTTGTCAAGCGTGGATTTAGATATATGCTTTAAACGAACCTTTCTCAAAATCTCTTGCCTTGTTATAATAACTTAGTATGCTTAAGCATGTAATTGTATAGTAATTAATAGACGAAAGTTTCATTAACATATCTCCTTTCTTCGCTACTAATCATAATACGCTATAATGGTAAGGAACGTTTCAAACTAGAATACTATTGTGCTTGTCTTCGATAGTCTGATTTCCCTTCCCCAAAAGATGGTTTAATTTGAGTATGTAAAATACTGAAACTTGATGTGAGTACCTTAGGTGTCATAATTATTCCGCATATTAAGGTAAAGTTGGTATCACTACCAAAAAGAGTACATGTTTATTCAGGATATAAAGATCAAAATTAACGTAACAGAAAATTTAATCCATTATAGTGTGCTTAGATAATCGCTTTTGTCAGAGGAAGCTATAAAGAGTAGATCTCTTCCTAAAATGACGTATAATGAGCGACGTTTTTGATAAGGTATGTTATAAGAATGCAGCTTTAATCTAAAAAAGTGTTAGGTATGAAGTTGCTCACAGTTACGCTATGTTGAATCATACTCCAAGTTAATTCTGATAACCTCCTTTTGAAATATGTACCACCTAATTCGATTGAGTTTAGAACTTCTTCTGTTTTTCTTTTTATAGAACCAGTCATGAGACAACTATAAGGCTCCACTTATAATGCCATAGATTTCTTTGATAGAAAAAGGGAAATTGAATAACTTCCTATTCAGAACCGGTACTTACGGCCCGAATTGTTCTAATGTTATTTGGGTACAAATGTTGTTCCACGAGATCATGTACAGTGAAACGCTAATTAATCCCCTCGGGAGCTCTACCGGACAGAGTCACTTGTCGAGGTTGTCAGCATCATATGGCACTTGTGACTGAGATTGACATTGTGATATAAATTTGCTACTTTCTCTGCTTAACTTCATCAAAATGCACGTAGTCGACGAAAAGGATTTAAAACAAGAGTACGAGGAGCACGAAGTAGCTCCAGATGGTGTATTGAGACACGGACAAACTGTTGACTTGGAGACTTACAGTAATGATGACGAAGAATTTGGTGGATATGAGAACAGAAAAAAGATGGAACGCAAATTGCTTTGGAAAACTGATGCCAGATTCGCCATTATGATTATCAGTGAGTGAAAATTTTATGTATCCGTCCAGCTTAGCTAACCATGGCTTTTTCGTTAATTCCTTCATCTATCCCTTCTATTAAATTACAATTATCAGTCTATATCCTCAATTACATCGATAGAAACAATGTCCCGGCGGCTCGTCATCAAGGTTTAGAAGACGACCTAGAACTCGGATACGACA